GTGTACTTCATCGATCTACCTGTTCTGCTCTCTACTCTGTCTCTGATGAATCTTCTCACTGCCCCTGCACCTCTGGTCTGTACCCCAGTTCTATATGCATAAATAAATAAGAAATATTAAAAAAGAAAACATTTACTGTTGGCCAACCCCTAGTTTAGATTATTGGAGTCACAAAGTAAATAGATATAATGGCAGGTAAAGTGCACCACTAGGAATTACCTGGAGGAGAGTCAAATTATTAAAACCCAGAAAATCCAATAGCAAGGAAGATACAGAGTATAAGTAAAACAGAGCAGTCAACTCCAGACTCAGGCCACTTGCTTAAGGTTTCCAGGCAAGCTGTCTTTGCCTGCTGAGTGTACATGTATTTACTTGTGTGAAAACTCCCCTTTCAGACCTCCACCTTTAGGGATTTTTATCTTGACCTATTTACTCTTTTCTCAGTGTTCCTAACTTTGACCTAGAGATAAATATAAAACACATTTTTCAATGTGCCAGGCACGTACATACACTCATCAATATCTCCCTTATGAAGCAGGGCTGCATAGTCTCTCTAGATAAGGAAGGTGAGGCTCATGTAAGTGAAATAACTTACTCAAAGGGTCATTTGGCTTATAAATGCTGAGTCACGGTTTGAATTCAGGTTTCAAAGCATAACCTTAAACTCCGTCTATCTTGCCGACCTTCACACCTTTATATGGGCTAGTGAGAGCCAATTGTTGAATTTTCGGGAGCTCTGTGAACCAGTCGTTAACTGCAGGAATTACCAGAAATTAAATTATATAGACATAGGGAATAAATTGTATTAAAAGCAAAGGTAATATGCTCAATATTCTGTACTCATTATTTTGCTACTGTCTTCTGTTACTTGTGAGCTTGAAGTATATAAGTCTGCAGAAGCTGTTTGGTAAGTGTTAACTGTGTGCTCCTGCATATCTCTGCCAGGCTCCAAATTTGGTGATGTCATGTGGATGTTTGAACTTACCATCTTGAGAGTATTTATGCCATGGAATTGGGCAACTGTTACAGATTTAGCGTTTTACTTTTTTTCCCCCCTTGGAAGCCACTGCTTACTCATTTATTGCCACTTATCTTGCATTCTGATTTTGATCTCGGGATTCTAGATGACAGCTATGTTGGTGTCTGCCTGCCTCCTGTCTTGACCTTTGAACCCCAAAACTTTTATAGTAAGCTGCACAATAGCAACCTGCAGAAAGGGTCTGAACTCTTCTAGTATTGTTTTTATGGCAATGGGTAGAAATTTCTTCGTGTAATTCCCTTGTTGATAGAATATGTTCCTTCTGGTGAAGAAGTTGTTCGAGGATTTTGATTTTACAATTTGTTTGTGAATACAGAAACAAGCTTGAGGCTAACTTGGAATTCCTTTTTTAAAAATCCTAGCTTTATCTTTGTTAATATTGGGTGAACCACTGTTCAAAATTTTACATTAAGATTTTCTAGTTAAATATTTTGGCTGCAACATACTAGCCTGTTATCAACTTGTAAGAGACAAATTTTTGCAGACAGGTTTAGTTAACACAATTGTGTATATAATTTCATTGGTAACAATTCAGAGAAATAGGCAGAACTGTAAAATGTCAAAAAAAAATTCTGGTGGTGTAGTCTTCAGTTTTACATTGTCCTGCTCCAAATGGTTCTATGCTAATTGTTCACAATTTATAACACATCATGTTTCAACATTTCCTGTACAGGAGCTAGATTTTCAGATTAGTCCAGAAAAGCTTTTAGCAATCATTCAATTGTAATAGGATTTTTGCAATAAAACCTCCACTTGTAATGCTGTTCCCTTTTGAAAATGCACCCAGAATTCTGAATTGGGACCCCTTAATAATAATTCCTTTTAGAGATAGAAACCATTATAATAGCAGCAGATAAAGAAGAACCCGGACATTCTCTGTGGATGCAGGACAGTGAAGGCTGTTCTGGATTCTGTGCAACAAGGTCTACCAGGCAGATGTTTGAATAGAGAAGGGAAAGTTGAAAGAAACTAATGTTACAAAATGAATTTATTGGCCATGTAATTAGGAATTAAATAAATTATTATTTTTCATTCTGATTCTATTTACCTTAAAACTAGACAATCTCTTGAAGTCAGTGCTACTCAAAGAGTGGCCAGAAGACTGGCAACTGTCTGCAAACACTGTTACTGGAAATCGAGTGTAGAAACTAGTGTAGTTAACAGAGTACTTTTATGATTGCATTTAATACTACTAATAGGGGAAAGCCAGTAACTTCATTTTACTGGTAATTCCTTTTTATTATGTTTTGTGAAAATATTCATATAGATAGATTGCAACTTTCAGATGCGTCTTTGGAGAAGCTTAGTCCCCTGTGCTGTGATCTGCAGGTCCGGAAGTCCCTGGCTCTCGCTGTTTTCGCCTCTTGGCTCAGATGTGTCACACACACGATTTGTGTTTGGATGATTTTGTCCAGCTGTGGTATTTCTTCCACTTCCCCTTTGATGGGACAGGCTCTAAGCCAAGGGTACTTCATCTGGCGTCTGTGGAACCCAGTCTCCACTTCCATGGATGGGCTTCAGAGGGTTTCTGTTTGTTTGGAAGCTTCATATTTTATTTCTCTTCTTTCACTGCTTACTCTGAAAATTGCAACATATATGTTTCTTCTAGCAAATGTCTTGTCATCCTTAGCAGCTTCTAATTCAGCAGGTGTCTGAGTGCGGCCTGAGATTCCGCATTTCTACTGAACTCCCGGGTGATATCCCGTATGGTCCAATGATCTCACTTAAACTGATGAAGCCCAGGAGGTCTTCCCACACTCAGCATTTGCCTTCCATTCCTGGTTAACTGCCCTGAATTAACCACTTTCTTCTGCAAGGTAGCCAGGCATCAGCAGCAGCCCCCAATTCTGGAGTTCTTATATTCAAACATCTCCCTAGGCAGTATCTGGTCTCCCACTTGAGCTTGGTGTGCACATCAGCACAGTTAGCCGTGGGTGTAAGCTGAGGTGATTGGTAACAATCACTTGACTTAAACATACTAAATCTCTCCTATTTACCCTCAGTCATGGGTCCCCTGTTTCTTTCTTCGTCTTCTTCTTCTTTTTTAAAGATTTATTTATTTGTGCATATAGAACTTGGGTACAGGCCAGAGGCACAGGGGTGGTGAGAGACAGAGCGGGGAGCAGAACAGGCAG